GGTCCCAAGGATATCGGTGTGATGTCAAGGGATTGATAGAAATGTTCCCATGTCTCCGTTGAAGGCTTGATCTGCGACAACTGATTTGGGCTGCAAGTGGTACTGGTCAAAAGAGTTCCTGAGGACAGTGATGTTCTCGACTTCTTGCGTAGTTGTCACTGCCTCTGCAGCGAGCAATGTTGTTGCTCCATCCAGGATGACAAAAACAATGATGTGTTCTCCTTTTCCAAGAGGAACTTGACAGTGATCAATGAATGTCATGTCACCGAAGGTGTCCGCTCTAAGTCCACTCGTTTTGGTTCGTGGTGGTGATTGTTTTGCCGCTTGGCAAACTTCACATTCACTTCGTTCGGATTTTGTCAAATAGATCGATTGTTGATTTTGGCAAGTCAAGCGAACGAGTTCTGAATCGAAATTGATCTGTTGTCATGTGATGATGCTGGAGGTGGAGCTTCTTCAACTCTTCGGGAATTGACAATCGCTTGTGGATTCTGCCTAGGGCAATCGGAAGCGATGTTGGTTCATCTGAGGATGGTGCGAAAGGATCTGGCTCAATGGTCGACCGGCCCTTCTTGTCGATGATCCTGTCTGCTGCCGATTGCTTCTTCGTCCTTAAGCGAATTGTCCGCGAAGGTGAAAATGGTCTTACCTTTCCACAGGTTAATCATTGGTTTGTTTGCCTGGGATGTAAGTCTCCAATTGTCTTCTAGGATTTCTGGATCTCCACCTTTGGATGCATCTATGATTTCCGTGGTACGCTCTCGGCTGATGTTATTTGGATTGATTGGACATTCCTTGGCTCCATTTGGTGTGAACAGCGCCTTGCGAGGCGTGATGTGCACACGGATGAGCTGCTTGTTCTTCTTATCAAGGATCCAATGGTCCTGCTTTTGAGACCCAATGATTTTGGGAGTTGCTAGGTCCTCCTTCGTCTCGGATGATTTGGATGCACAAACAGTTTCACTCTTGGAGATATCCCCGGAGGGAAACTTGATGCTGTTGTCATCATCGTAGACGTAGTTGGTGAGGCCCTTGATGGCAATTTCTCCATGTGCTTTCACTCTTGCAACTCCAGCGAGGTCGACGAGGGTCCATACTGGAACTGCTTGAATGCCACACCTTGCGTGTGATCTTGTCACATTGAGGTGTGTGCTCGATGGTCATGTAGAGGTTCCGCATCTGACTGATGCTGAGGAGGATTGGTACAGTTCCTTGTTCAAGGACGTCGATGTTGGTACTGCATGGAGGAGTTGTGTGATATCGAAGATGCAAGGTCCAATTTACCTTGGCTGTTTCTCCGTTTGCAAAAGTGAACTTGGTCTCGGCCGGGATGTACTGATAGGAGATGAGGTCCTTCATGGGTTCGATGGCCTGAGTAAAACGCTGGATTGCATGCCAGCTGCCCATGGATCTGGTACATCCGTTGTCCAGGATCGCATAGGTCGGATTGTGCTGAGGGTTGATGACAGGCGCCGTCAGCTTTGTTGCCAAAAGGCTGTGATTTGTTGTTACGGACAAATTGTGTTCTGAAACTGTATCTGATTGGATCAGCTTCCCGTGAATGTTGCTGATATGCGTCATGGAATGCCATTAGTGCTTGTCCTGTGCTGGATGTCTCATGGGATGAGTGCCAGCCTTGTTCGTTCCATGTCCATGATTGATCCCAATCTTGGTCTGTCCAACCGGCGTAGGCAGGCTCTTGGAGTTCAGCAACTTGCTGCGTGGCAGGATGCTCCTCCGGCTTCTCTGCGATGGCTGCGAACATTTTGGATTTTCCTTTGTCATGTCCGCCTTTTCCTTTGCCATTCTCATAGGATGGATAACCTTTTTTTCCATCATAGGGATATTGGAATTTGGATTTTCCTTTCTTTCCCTTCTTTCCTTTGCCTTCATTGGCCATATTGGCCTTCCCGCCAGAACCGCTTGTTGAAAAGGGTTTAAAGCCACCTCGTTGGTGACTGCCCTTTTTGTTTCCTGATTTTCCTTTTCCTTTTCTCTTTTTGAATGTGAAATTCCGCCCTGACACTTTTCTTGCTATGAACGCATCGTTCTCTTCGAGGACCCAGAATGTCGCTTCATCGTTGTTTGACATGAATCCTTCAAGTCCTTCTTCATCTTCAACCCAAAAGCCTTCTTCTCCGTCGTATTCACCTTGTTCGAGGATGCCTCCTTGAGGTCGGATGGATGGATCTTGGATGGATGTCCTGGTCGTGATGGAGAGTTCATGGGAATGCGTCTTCAGCATCTTATAGGAGTAGCTCTCGAGTGAAATGTTTCTCAGTGACAGGGCACTGGTCAGTCTTTCTCTCTGCTGATCTGACAATTCACTCTGAATGATGAAAAACTGCGCAATGAGATTATCCCCGAAGGGAAATGCGTCCCGCTGTCTGTCCTGCCTTCCCGTGATATACTGTCTGAGGACTGTCGGATCATCCTCATTTAGCAGGACTGGAGGCGGTGCTCGAGTACCGGCTGCTTGCTGATGTCAAGCAATTGTTCTGTTGTTTGTGTCCTGTACGGACTGTCGAAATGATGGGGACTGTGCCGTGTAGACGGGCATCAAGTCCATCCATGTGAGGAACTCTTGGTTCTGCCTTCTGTGATTGAAGAAACTGAGGAGCCTGTACAGACACACACCTTTCAGGAAGTACTTCTTCAGCGTGTTCTTGAAATAGTTGACTCCTTCATCAGGATCTTGCAAAAGGTCATTTTGGAGGACTGCCTTGTACATGTAAGCATCTCCTGTGAGTCTGCTTTTGAGGAGTGGTCCTCTCTTGGGTGCTTCCACCGTGGTGATTGTCACCCAGTCGTCCACGAGTTCTTCATACCTGAACCAGCTGACTTTTCCGTCGTACGATGGCGGTCATCGATAAGTTGAGTGTTTCCTCCGTATAGCCGGATGATACTTGAATAGGCCTCCATGAAGCCTTCTCCATCGGATGAAAATTTTGCTTGGATCTGTGCGGAAAACCCGCTCCGCTACCACAGTTGGGGCCCACTGCCAAAGGGTACCTATCCCAGAGAACTGGTACCCTGTGGTAGTAGAGGTCGTTTATGTGGTCCCTGGATCTATTCCGGAGAGAGCCCAATATGCCAATATGGATGATTGGAGGATGGATTGTTTCTGTTGAATTGTATTGTTGTATAATCCTGTAAGCGGCCTGCAAAGGTTCCTTTTGTCACGCCATCATGAGTATTGCTATGGTACAGAAGGGCCTTGAGCCAAATGGTTGCGATTGGTCAAAAACAGACACAGGGGGGCAGCCTGGGACCGGAGGTGGGCTGGTCCAAGGTCTTCAGTACGCGTTTCAGGGCGTCTCCTCAATGTCCTCGAACGCCCTGAAATGCTAATGGAGTACATCAGAAATTGCACGAGCGGCGCCACTCCCAAAGATGTTTTCGTGGCGGCACATTTGTAATATTGCAAAACAAGAGGGCTGCGCAGGTTGGCAGCCCCGTTGCTTATGCTGCCTGCGCCAGACAGAAGAAAGGGCTGCAGTGTGAACAAATGAGCCTCACCCCGCCGCCAGAGAGTGTGTTAGAATGCTTTGGGGGCAAGACTCCACGGTACTGTAGTTGTGTGCTCAATACCCCAAGGGCAGTTGGCGGATGAGACTGAATGCACGGCTCCAACACAACCTCTTCATAGCAACAAGCCGCAAGGAGGGATTTCGTGTTTGCGGTCCTATCCTGTCAAATGCGAATTCGAATTCGGCATTGTTTGAGGTGGTGGAGGCAACTTGGACGGAGTTCTCAGACAGCATGCCCTCGACATTTCTGAGACCATGACACACGTCATATGCTGCAGTTTGGTGGATGAGGTGTGGATTCCCCTTGCATTTGGAAAGTGCTGAGGCAATCTCAGCGGTCAGTGGGGAGGAAAATATGCCTCTGCTGGAGGCGCAAAACACAGTGGCCCGAGATGCATCCCAGCTGCCGTTGATGCTGCAGGAGCCAATGGCGGCTTTGGCGGCGGGTACGGAGGAGGATCACAAGTTTCAAACTACACATTGCACACAGGCATGTACAAACGCAAACACATATTATATATATGATTATGTATTATATATATATATATACGTATAATGCATATACAACGATATTTTCTGTGCATGTGCACACACAAACACACGCACACAGACAAGTCACGTGGAAGACCTTGAGACTCGCTTTTGATTCGAAGGAGATGGCACTTACACAGGCGGCTACCAGACAGGTGCCTATTCATGAGCGGAGCTTGGCGGGCGGGGCAGCTGGATTGGGGTTCACGTGGCCAGTAATTGCGTGAAGAGCATGAGCGCACCACGCCGTATGCAAAAACCACGTCCAAGTTCCGGCCGCTTTGGTGGCCTTTGTAATGCTTTACATGGTTCCGGCTATACCATTTAAACGTTCAATGCTAGGTTTTGACTATGACCCATATGGTTTGATTTGCCGGACCTCTCGGGCTTTGCCAATCCTCGACTGCCAACAGAGCGAGTCAGAACGCCGGTAGGGGGTAAGCCGGTGGCGATGCCCTGGCACCAGTTTTCAGCGACGGCCTAGGGCACGCGCCGCCTCGAAGCTTACCCAATCTTGTGGGGATAGGTCACAAGCCAAAGCTGAGACGCCACCACACATAGGGTCTCCCAGGGGTTTGGGGGGGGGGGTTGGGGTCATGCTTCCAGGAAAGGGAAAGCAGTCACATCCTGGCATGGCCAGAATGTCTTGACCCCTGAAGAGGGGTGTCCTGTTCGGCCTTGGGCTTCATTTTTGGGCCTCTCGTGGCCTTTACAGGGACGTCCCGAATGTGGACCCTCCGTTTTGACTGACCCGGCGGGAGCCTGTCAGAGCGCCAAGTCTTGCGCAGACTGGCGTATACATAGGCAAGACCTCCCTGCGGAGCCGGCGGGCGTTCAGAAATCACATTGGCCTACGTGGGAGTTTTTTCGCTGGCTCGAGGCGCGAGGCGCGAGGCGCGAGTGAGCGTGTGGATCTTGACGCGCCCGGCTTCGGCTCGAAAGCATTGCTGCCCAAGTTTTGACGGCCTTCGGCCTCGGCAAGAAGCTCAAGCTCCAAGGAAATCATGTCTCCTTTGGCCAAGTCACCAAGGTGCCCTAGTGGAGATTCTGCGCCTCTTCAGAGCTGCGCCGCGCAGGCCGGTGAAAGACTAGAAGTCGAAGCATTCAGTGTCAGACTTCTCACTGAGCTTTGCTGCATTTTCTGCTTTCCGCTTGGCTGGAAGACTTGCGCGACAGGTTTGCGCCGGCTGCCAGGCTGCGTGCTTCGGCCCGGCGTTTGGAATGCCCCAAGCTCTTCGCCTGTTAGGGGCATGACCATCGGAATCGATCTCCTGCGGAAAGATAAGGGCGGCGACCCGGAGGCGGAAGGGGCCGGATGAGCAGCTCCCGCAGAGATGCTGAATTGGTTCCTTCAAAACCAACAGGCGGAATAACATGGAGTCAGCAAATATTTCCAGAGTAGTGACAGACTCCTTTAAAACCACCCGGGGAACAAAAACAACACCGAATCTTGAGCAACTTGGAAGTGGCGGTGATCACTGCTCAGGTAGTGAAGGAGTCAGAAAAGCGTCGTTTCCGCTCGAATCTCAGGTAGTAAGATGCAGGAGGGCCAAAATTGGGCTCACATTCTGCGGTTTGCGTCGAACAGGGTGCATTCAGCGACTTGTTTCTGCGTCGCGGACTATTTGGCTCGTTGGATGCCTGAGGCGATCCAAAGCTCATCGACAGGGTCTTGGAGCTTGACGGCCAGTGGGTTTGCGGCTGAAACAAGCAGAACACTCCATCTGTTTGAGAGGCACAGTGTTGGACGACGACTTTGGACTGCTAAGGTGAAGCAAAAGTTTCAGTTGGATGAGAAGCGGAAAGAGGCCCTTCTGACCTGTGCAAGCGGAGCGTAGGTGAGCCGTAGTGAGGTGAACAAAGTTCAGAGCCAGATTACTGAGAAGAAGAAGGCGTCCAAAGGTGCCGACAAGTGCCGGTTTCCGAGCTGAACCCATGGTGCATGGCATATTTTTGTCCAAGTTCTGGGACGGTTTTGGGCCTTAGGCGAAGACCTCCTGCAGCAGAAGACGGGGCTGGAGGGAGAGGCCGCAGAGCTGGAGAAGACCTGCGAAGAGACTATGGCGCAGCGGGTCGGGCGCTTCTGTTTCCGCGCGCCGGTGCGCGGTGCGTAAGGCGCGCACGGTTGTTGGCCAGGACAAGTTGTTGGGAACCATCGGAAACTTGGCCCGCGGCCAAGGTGGCCGGAAGAAGCCATCCCCCATGATGCTTGTGTTCCTGAGGTTCACGACACCGTGCCTGTGTCTCAAGACGAGGAGAAGCACAACAAGGTGGGCAAGTCGCAAGTCTGGTCGTCTGAGAAAAGCTGGCTGGGCACTCGTCTCATCCAGAATCCAGGTGGTTGCAACCTGGGGTGTGCCGCGCAGCTTTGAGGGCAAGACCTACCAGGCGGGCCCTCTTGCAAGCAGAGGATGATTCAGGGCGGACCAAGGCCAATGGCTTTAGACCCCACTTCGAGCTGCTGGAGATGATCGGCGCCGTGGAATTTGAAGCGGGAAATGAGGCGGGAGCAAACGTGATTTGGGGCCAATGACATGCGCAGACTGCTGTGAGGTAGCGGGCCACCGCGGCTATTTCCTATCGGGCCCTGGTGTGCTCCTGAATCAGGCACTCATCAACTACGGCCCGCGCCTGAGGTACACATAAACCTTGAGCATTGTGGTTGCCTTGAACACTTCCTGAAATGTTGTGGCTGTTTGCAACATTGTTGCCGTGGGCATTTCCAGTCTTGAGATGTGGTCGTGACTGACTGCATTTTGTTGTTCTTGCTGCCGCTGCCGCCGCTGCTGCTGCTGCTGCTGCTGCTGCTGCAGCTGCCGCTCTGCTGCTGCTGCTGCTGCTGCTGCTGTTGTCGTTGTCGTTGTCGTTGTCGTTGTCGTTGTCGTTGTCGTCGTTGTGGTTGTGGTTGTGGTTGTGGTGGTTGCTGCTGCTGCTGCTGCTGCTGTTGTTGCTGTTGCTGTTGCTGTTGCTGTTGCTGTTGCTGTTGCTGTTGCTGTTGCTGTTGCTGTTGCTGCTGTTGTTGTTGTTGTTGTTGTTGTTGTTGTTGTTGTTGTTGTTGTTGTTGTTGTTGTTGTTGTTGTTGTTGTTGTTGTTGTTGTTGTTGTTGTTGTTGTCGTCGTCGTCGTCGTCGTTGTCGTCGTTCTTGTCGTTGTTGTCGTTGTTGTCGTTGTTGTCGTTGTTGTCGTTGTTGTCGTTGTTGTCGTTGTTGTCGTTGTTGTCGTTGTTGTCGTTGTTGAACTGTTGAACTGTTGAACTGTTGAACTGTTGAACTGTTGAACTGTTGAACTGCTGAACTGCTGAACTGTTGAACTGTTGACCTGTTGACCTGTTGAACTGTTGACCTGTTGAACTGTTGAACTGTTGTTGTTGTTGTTGTTGTTGTTGTTGTTGTTGTTGTTGTTGTTGTTGTTGTTGTTGTTGTTGTTGTTGACCTGTTGTTGTTGACCTGTTGTTGTTGTTGTTGTTGTTGTTGTTGCTGCTGCTGCTGCTGCTGTTGTTGCTGTTGTTGTTGTTGTTGTTGTTGTTGTTGTTGTTGTTGTTGTTGTTGTGGTTGTTGTTGTTGTTGTTGTTGTTGTTGTGCTTCTTCTGCTTCTTTGTTTGTTTTGGTTGTGGTGGTGGCAGTGGCGGCGGTGGTGGTGTTGGCTGTGTTGGTTGCGTTGATTCCGTTGGTGGTGCTGTTATTGTTATTGCTGCTGCTGCTGTTGTTGTTGTTGCTGCTGTTTTTGTTGTTGGTGGTTGGCTGTTGGTTGTTGGTTGGCATTTTGATTGGTGGTTGGTTTTTGCGGGTCGTGGGTTGTTGTTGATTGGTTTTTGGTGGTTGGCGGTTGATGTTGGTTGTTGGTTGCTTGGCTGGTGGTTGTTGGTTGCTGGCCGTGGATCATCGGTTGTGGAGTTGTCGCTTGTTTGGTGTTGCTTGTTGTTTGGGGGTTGCAGGTTGTGGGTGGTGGGTGATGGGTTCGTTGGTTGTGGTGGTCGTGGTGGTGGTCGTCGTCGAACGTTTCCGTTGTCGGCATTTCCTGCCATTTACTTTCTTTTGAGGATGCCCTGCTACGTTGCGGGTGTGAGCATTTCTGATGATACTAGCATTTTGCATGCTAAATTGCTGATGTAGGTCGGCATTTCATATCGCGGCGGGAGACCTGTTACTAGCACTCCCATACCATGTTGCTGCAGCGCAAGTCTGCTGCGTTTGCGGGGAGTTTTGACTTTGTAGCTGCAGCTGCCTTTTGGCATGAGTATGTAAGGTGGTTGCTGCATTTTTGTTGTAATGATTTGAAGCTGCTCGTTGCCAGCGCTTGTCTAGCATTTGCCTTCCGAGGCATTGCCTTTCTCTCGCAGCGCGGCTACACCCCCCTGCAAGCAGCTTAGCCTGGAAAGCCATTGAGTGGGCAAGAGTGGGTTTAGCCCAGGCAGCCGCCGTTTTTCATGAAGAAGGATCTTTCGATGTTTGCTTCGCATGCGCCGCGTGCGACGTCCTGTAGGACCTGATGGCCAAGACCGCCGAACTGGCGGCGTTCTCGGCAGCAGGGGTATCGTAGGGGTTATCCACTTTGGCGAACAGGTGATTCGGTCTTGGCGGTGCATCAGTTTGTTTGTGGAACGCATGCGTGACATCATGAGTGTGCATGAGGCAGATTACGATGATGTCCTGTACAAGGTCATCGAGGATAAGGACAGCGACGTCTTCGTTGGCCTGTTGCAGACTGGGATGCCAACTTTTTTTGTCTCCGCAGAAAGGACCACCACCGTGCTAGGCAAATACAGGTATACCCAAGAGCTCCGGTTGGATGAGCTCTTATCCTGAGGAGCATCCTGAGCTGGATAAGTACCTCATCGCAACCTCGGACCGAGTGACAGCACTGCACGTTGCAGCTGATGCTCGCCCTCGGGCCGAAAGGCGCTAGGCCGCGAGTCGAGAGCGCCGACAGGAGCAGCCGATCTCCGCCTTTCACCGAGGGCAAAACATCGACAAGGCGCGTGGAAGCTCGTGGGGCGGGGACAGCCGTTGGCTCGGCTGAGACGCGCTTCCCGCTCCGCTACGTGGGCCTCTCCTCGTGCTTCCGGCGCGAGGCTGGCAGCAGCGGCGCAGGACCCAGGAAACTGGAGATCCAGGAGAGATCATGAGAGACAGGAAGGTGTTTCCATTGTGCAACGAGGCAACCAGCCATTTGTGAGTTTCCGGAACCTCGCCAAGGTCGCGACATTCGCGGCATCTTCCGAGTGCATCAGTTTGAGAAGATTGAGCAATTTGTGCTCTCAGACCCAGACAAGCTGGAGCCTGAGCGCAGGTTTTTCAGGGAGCGCCAGAAGTTGAACCTAGAATCAATCCTTGTGGCGTTGAGTCTTCCTGAGATCGTGGGACGAGCACGAGGCTATGATCACTGCGGCTCAGGATGCCGTCATCGAGCTTTGGGCATCTTCAAAAGGGGACCCCATCCAGGTGGTCAGTGCCTTTTCCAGTCAACCCCCCCCCCTCGCAGGTGTTGGAAGAGCCCGTTTAAACAATCGCATTCTGACGATGACGTTCAGGAGTTCTACCAGAGCCTCGGTATTCCATACCGGACGGTGGCCATTGTCTCGGGCGAGCTGAACAACGCCGCAGCCAAGAAGTGCCCCGAAGTTGCAAGGGGCAAGTGAGCGGTCAACACCAATTCGGGAGGGGACAGTGCCAGCCAGCCAATGGATTCTTTAAGTTTTCGGGTAGACCCCTTTAGTACCAAGTTTTGATGGTCAGTGCCATGGAAAAAACTGGAACAGCAGGTACGACTTGGAGGGTTGGTTCCCTGGCGATGCCGAGGGCAAGGGGAAGCAGTGCACTTAGCCGGATGGGCCTGGTTTCAAGCGATTTGTCCGACTGCGCATGGTTGAAGTCGCTGAACCTTGGCTCACTGGCTCAGGTATAGAGAGCTGGTGTCGTGTTCCAATTGTACAGATTATCAGGCGGAGTATCAGCTCATGTGGCACACGGAATTTCAGCCGCAGCACCTGACACATTTAAGCGGCCGGTGCCAGTGTGCTTGCCAGTGTGCACATGTCCCGCACGGGTTTATGCGCTCGGGCGTGTGGGCTCACGTTGGCAGGCACGTGCTATGCAAACCAAGTTCGGCTACAGACCAGAGGATCCGCCTTGGCCCCATTTTGACTGGCGCACTTGTGACGAGGTCCTGAGATCTGGATGGTTTGGTACCTTGTGCCATTGTCATGTTCCTGTTTTGGTGACTTCGGACTTCCTTTGTGTGCGAATTCCTCAATCAAGGAACCCAATGTATCGGCTTTGAGGTTCTGCCACATGCTGAACAGCACACTCTGTGCAACAGCTGGGAGCTCAGAAATGTGACTCCATTGCACTCCCCAAAACGCCACTGGGCTAGGAGAGAGCGTTGTGCTGCCTTGTGGAGAACTACCAGGAGGAAGATGGCGTGCGGGTACACAAGGGGAGTGGTTGCAGCGGTCGACGATCGAGCTGCAGCTTGTCAGGTACCTCGCGCTTTGGTGCCGTTCCTGCTTGGCCAGGATGCTGCTGCTAGAGTGTTGGGCTGCGGCTAGTTTGGGCCCAAAGCCCATTTTTTCCCTTTGTTGTTTTTCTTCTTTGTCTTTCGTAATTTCCTTTTCCACAGTCGTACGGATCTGGTTAGGAAGACAAGCAGAACACCAATTGACGTGCCAGGAGTTCTTCCCTTTCGTGAAGACGCTGAAGGAGGAGCGGCCGGCAGCGAAGAGCAAGGCCAGCTGAGAGGCCAAGTCGGTGTCGATGTTCCAACGTCCGAGGCGAAAAGCGTGGGACCTCAGAGGTTCGATGTGGGCGTGTCTTGATTATGGGACCAATGGCGGTTTTCCTTTTGGTTCCAATTCAAAGCCACCAACACGTGGCTAACATGAGACCCTCAACAGAACGACACTCCCAGTTCACAACAGGTACACTGAAATCCGATTCGGCAATCGTGTCAATTCGGGCTGAGCGAGCTGAGGCAACAAAAAATGAAGACAAAACGCGAGGACCGGAAGCGTCCAAAGGAGCGATGCACGGCAGCTTTGCTTGTGCAGCGGCTTCATATCATGTTCGGCTGGGAAGCACACTTCGCACTTTGTTGAAATGGGATGTTCAAGCTCGAAGGTGTGTCCTATCCGGTGCGGCAAGTCAAATACATCAAACAAAGCTCTGTGGTAGTGAGTTGTCAGACAGCTCAGCAGAAGCTCACAGCCAGCTTGCTCTTTATCCCGCCTCGGAGCGGAAGACTTCTTCACCTCCCACATACACATCCTTGCTTGCAACACGCACTCCGATAGACGCGATAGAAGCTTTGCAGCCTTGCAAGCCATGGCAGCTTTGGCCGAGGCCGGATCGGATGGCATTGGACACCTGTGAGGTCGGCCATAGGATACCTGTGAGTCAGCGGGCCGCCTCTTTTTGCTTCCGGTAAAGCCCGACGTGGCCTTCGTTGCCCGAACAGAACACTAACTGTTTTTGGGCTTTTCCTCAAGCCCCAGCTCTTTGGTTTCCCACAGCTCGGATGTTTGGTTCCCTGAACCCAGGCGCGGCCATGGTTCATGGCCCTCAACGAGAGTGTGCAGCAAAGGCCCCAGAGATCTTGCAATACAGCGCAAAAATGGTCTGTTCGGACCCAAAGGTTTCACATTGGCATGGCCGGGTCCTTGGTTGAAGTGTTTTTGCCGTGATTGAGGAGAGACCGGCAGAAGGTCCAGATTCCAAAGGCGCAAATGCGGCAGAATCACGGCATGACGGTACATTGGGCCACGACAAAGAACTTACCTCAGAAAATGCCAGTACAGAGTGGAACGCACACTTTGGAATCAAAAGGGCGAAACGCACATTGTCACCGTTGAAACCGTCCCCTACTAACCTTCAATTGCCCCAGCCACCAGAACATCTAGTTGCTTTTGGCTCAGCTGGGCGATCCACTCTGGTGGTTTCCCATTGGAAAGAGCTCAGCATATCGGCAACCTGGCACTTTCGCGAGGAGCATGCCCTCAAAGATTCGCGCCGTGCCCTGAGTGAGAAGCGACCAAGCCACGCTGTTGGGGGGATAGCTCGAAGGTGGCTAAACAGAGCAGCGACCCATGCTTCTGATGCCAGAGTGTTTAGTCATCGGGCGATAAAGCGCAGGAGTGGTTTCATGCCTGCACGACAGTTCGTGCGTTCTTGTGCTCGCATGGATGAGGCCGAGCACGGCAGGCAAAGCCGTCCACTGCATGCCGTTGCAGTTGGAGGGTCCCTCCCAGCTAGGACAAGCCTGGGAGAAGCCCCATCAAGGGCCTGCCATGAACCCCCGCCATTTATTGAAAAAACTCAAGCCAGGCTGAACTGGAAGAGGAGGACAAAGCAGGCAGCACTTGAGTCGAAGGGACAAATGGGGAAGGATTTCCTCCTTTTGTGACAGTTGCGCCTGTGTTGCCTTAGGCGCGCTGCTGGCATTGCAGGCTTTGTTCTCTTGCGCTGGTTGGGAACGAGACGCATACTGTTGCCGGGCAGGATGCGGCTGCGGCAGTCTCCGCATCGAGCCAAAAGTACTGTGCAGTGGCCCCATTTCACTGGAGAGGAGAGGAAGGGCCATGCCGCGGAGTTCCTGATATATGCGTGCCAGGTCATGACAGACTGGCAGAAGAACCAGGGTCAGGAGGCAAGAGAAGGTTCTTGTGGAGCCTGGAGCACGATTTAGGTTCCATATAAACCTCGGCTTTTTGTTGTTGTTTCTCACCGTCCGAACTGCAATCTTTTTCAGCAAAAATCAACCAGGAGCGTGCAAAAGTCATCGAATTTTCGACCCCACCTACACCTACCAAAGGGCATGCCTCAGTTCAGATAAAATCCCCTTAGTCAACCACTTCAACCATATTAACCAACTGGGGCACGGCACCTCAACCAATTTTATCACCTAAGTCCCTAAATCCCAAATCCCAAAATCTCAAATCCCAATTCCCAAAATATAATTTTCCAAAATCCCAAATCCCAAATTCCCAAAATATAATTTTCCAAACTCCCAAATCCCAAATTCCCAAAATATAATTTTCCAAACTCCCAAATCCCAAATTCCCAAAATATAATTTTCCAAATTCCAAAATATAAATCCCATAATTTCAATACATAAATCTTACAATGTTTTTTTTTATTGTAAGGTTTATGGGTTAATTATAATTTTAGTTCAGGATAATATTTTAATTGATGATGAGACAAATGTCTATGTTCTTTGCTTCTTTCATACATCATTTTAAAATAATATTAATATCTCTAACTGTGTTTTTAACATTCAACTTTTTACTTTCAATAAATAACTTGATAGCGTCTTTTACATCCTCTCCTTCCCTTCTATAGTTAACTAACATCCATAATATATAATCAATCATTTCATATTTTTTCTTACTGATTTTAAGAAGCTGTTTAACATAATCGTAAGGTTGGATTTTATAAACACCTAGAAATATTAAAACCTCATCTTCTACATTTCTATTATTTCTTCTTTTTATTCTCAACACACAATTGATTATAGATTGATTATCTCTCCAATTTATACAATTTTCACATTCGTCTTCTTCATCCATTGAATAGTTAATAATATTATTCACTATACCATTAGGTAAATTCAATTTGTATAATTCCATATATTTTTTTAATGTGGCAACAGTCGTAGCATTTCTTATTAATATACTTATTGATTTCAATACCGTTCATTTCTTCACTATTTATATAAGGTGTTTTTTCTTTAGGTCTATTTCGCCTAAAACTAAATTATTAATTAACATTATTATTAATACACAATCCCAGAAATTCAAATCATAAATCTTACAATGTTTTTTTTTGTTTTTTTTTGCAAGGTTTATGGGTTAAAAGAATAGTCCGGCAATATGTCTTCAAATATGTAATCTACATATTTACCTATATCATCTTCATCTATATATTTGATATTGTCTTTTCCTATTATTGAATACATATATTCCCAGAAGAACAAATTAACTAATAGACATACTGTATATTTAGTGTTGTAGTAATACCATATACTATATTCAGTTACTCTAAATTCGTTCAAGACTTCATTTATTTTATCTTGAATCTTTGTCTAACAAATGCCAGTCAATCCATTCAAACAAATAACGGTATTTTTTGACAAATGCTTTAAAAGGTTTAATTGCGTTTGTCCCTCCAAACCTCCTAACTAAATCTATATTACTAAAGAATTCATCAATTTCTTTTTCAAATGACTTTCTGGAAATCTTATGGTAAAAGTGTATAGGAAATCTTGCTTGGTGTTGCATAAATAATTTTAATTGTAATTGAAACTTTGTATATCCCTTATCCTTATGTTCTTCAAGAAACAACTTTTCAAGGTCTCTTGTTATACAGCATTGATTGCAATATACATTATATTCACTTATTTTATTACATACATTTGCTGGTAGTAAATGATGTTAGGTTAAACTCAAATCATTCATTTTGCATGTACAGCATTCGCACTTGTTATAGTTAAACAACATTTCACTAATATTATAAGGCGTTTTTTCTTTAACTGTATTCTGTTTAATATTAAACTTTCAATAATTCGTGCCTCAAATAAGGATTAGTTTTTCCTTCCAAATGAAAGTAAGATTGACCTAATTTACTATCAATTGATTTTACTTTAAATACTTCTTTTAACCAATGACCGGTATGTGCCTTTTCGCTTATGCCTTTCTTCCTCATTATTCTTACATTACTTCCTACGTCTAATTCTGGATACAGTCTAGTTTTCTTTGCTTGTATTGTAGTATTCATTTTAACTTTAAATTCATTTCTTTTCATTCTTGCTTCCTTCGGTGTAAATTTAGTTGCAGAATGAATATGTTTATTATTATAAGTTAATAGAATTTGAAAAATATAATCCGTCCATTGGATGTTCTGCTGTCCATTTTTCTTGTCCGCTTCGACTCTTTTAAAAAGTTGGTCTGTAAAAGTCTGAATTCCACGCTCCGCAAATGCTGGATGACCTCTAGTTCTATGTAATTCAATTTTCTCCTCCTTCAAATAATCTAATACTGATTGATTAAACAAACTGCCTTCCTCGTCGGTATAAATTAATTTCGGTTTGTCACCCATCTTATTGATATTCTCCATCATTCCTGCTAAAATGTCTGGCGGTGTCTTGGATTTAATTGGCACGGTATGCGTATATTTGCTAAACATATTAATGCATATCATACCAATTCTAAACTTTTGATTTTCCAAATCATTGTTTGAAATATAAAAAAACATATTTAAGGGCTGCCGCCCAGTGCCGCCGACCCCAGTTTGCGGTCAGGGAGCTCTTCAGACGGACAAATGTCAGCACAAAAAATCGTGTATGTATGTATGTATGTATGCATGTATGCATGTATGCATGCATGTATGTATGTATGTATGTATGCATGTTTGTATGTTTGTATGTATGCATGCATGTATGTGTGTATGTATGTAATGTAATGTAATGTAATGTAATGTAATGTATGTATGTATGTATGTATGTATGTATGTATGTATGTATGTATGTATGTATGTATGTATGTATGTATGTATGTATGTATGTATGTATGTATGTATGTATGTATGTATGTATGTATGTATGTATGTATGTATGTATGTATGTATGTATGTATGTATGTATGTATGTATGTATGTATGTATGTATGTATGTATGTATGTATGTATGTATGTATGTATGTATGTATGTATGTATGTATGTATGTATGTATGTATGTATGTATGTATGTATGTATGTATGTATGTATGTATGTATGTATGTATGTATGTATGTATGTATGTATGTATGTATGTATGTATGTATGTATGTATGTATGTATGTATGTATGTATGTATGTATGTATATGTATGTATGTATGTATGTATGTATGTATGTATGTATGTATGTATGTAATGTATGTATGCAATGTATGTATGTATGTATGTATGTATGTATGTATGTATGTATGTATGTATGTATGTATGTATGTATGTATGTATGTATGTATGTATGTATGTATGTATGTATGTATGTATGTATGTATGTATGTATGTATGTATGTATGTATGTATGTATGTATGTATGTATGTATGTATGTATGTATGTATGTATGTATGTATGTATATTATGTATGTATGTATGTATGTATGTATGTATGTATGTATGTATGTATGTATGTAATGTATGTATGTATGTATGTAATGTAATGTAATGTAATGTAATGTAATGTAATGTAATTGTAATGTAATGTAATGTATGTAATGTATGTAATGTATGTAATGTATGTATGTATGTATGTATGTATGTATGTATGTATGTATGTATGTATGTATGTATGTATGTAATGTATGTATGTATGGTGACTTTTATTTTTTATGTTGCTTATTTCAGGCTAATTGAATTTTTTTTGGGAAAAATAAAACCTTTTAAAGATTGACTGTTGTGATAAGTCCGTTTTCTAGTCTTTGTTTACGTATATGTGTGTATGTAAGTATGTAGTATGTATATGGTTTAATGTATGTATGTTGTATGCATGGCATGTTGTATGCATGCTGTACAGCAAGGTATGCCATTTTGGGCTGTGGGCTTTGGTACAGTCTCCGGGCTTGGGGCTGTTTTTGTAGTCTCTTATCTTTTTTTTATTTTTTTTTTTTGTTTTTTTTTTTTTGATTTTTTTCTTTTTTGTATTTTTTTTTTCGTATCTGCCACAGCTTTCGGGCTGTGGCTGCCACAGCCTTCGGGCTGTGGCTTTGGTACAGTCTTCGGGCTGTATCTGCCACAGCTTTCGGGCTGTGGCTGCCACAGCCTTCGGGCTGTGGCGTTGGTACAGTCTTCGGGCTGTATCTGCCACAGCTTTCGGGCTGTGGCTTTGGTACAGTCTTCGGGCTGTGGCTTTGGTACAGTCTTCGGGCTGTATCTGCCACAGCTTCGGGCTGTGGCTGCCACAGCCTTCGGGCTGTGGCTTTGGTACAGTCTTCGGGCTGTATCTGCCACAGCTTTCGGGCTGTGGCTGCCACAGCCTTCGGGCTGTGGCTTTGGTACAGTCTTCGGGCTGTATCTGCCACAGCTTTCGGGCGGTGGCTGCCACAGCCTTCGGGCTGTGGCTTTGGTACAGTCTTCGGGCTGTATCTGCCACAGCTTTCGGGCTGTGGCTGCCACAGCCTTCGGGCTGTGGCTTTGGTACAGTCTTCGGGCTGTATCTGCCACTGCTTTCGGGCTGTGGCTGCCACAGCCTTCGGGCTGTGGCTTTGGTACAGTCTTCGGGCTGTATCTGCCACAGCTTTCGGGCTGTGGCTGCCACAGCCTTCGGGCTGTGGCTTTGGTACAGTCTTCGGGCTGTATCTGCCACAGCTTTCGGGCTGTGGCTGCCACAGCCTTCGGGCTGTGGCTTTGGTACAGTCTTCGGGCTGTAGCTTTCGGGCTGTAGCTGCCACAGCCTTCGGGCTGTGGCTTTGGTACAGTCTTCGGGCTGTATCTGCCACAGCTTTCGGGCTGTGGCTGCCACAGCCTTCGGGCTGCGGCTTTGGTACAGTCTTCGGGCTGTATCTGCCACAGCTTTCGGGCTGTCGCTGCCACAGCCTTTGGGCTGTGGCTTTGGTACAGTCGTCGGGCTGTAGCCGCCACAGTTTTCGGGCTGTGGCTGCCACAGCCTT